GGGAGCGATTGTAGAGAGATACACATAGCAATGGAGGTGGGAGCGATTGTAGAGACACACATAGCAATGGAGGCGGGAGCGATTGTAGAGAGATACACATAGCAATGGAGGCGGGAGCGATTGTAGAGACACATAGCAATGGAGGTGGGAGTGATTGTAGAGAGATATACATAGCAATGGAGGCGGGAGCGATTGTAGAGACACACATAGCAATGGAGGTGGGAGCGATTGTAGAGACACATTCACACACAAAGTTGCTCCTGAAAATGCTGGAGTGCCTGAATCCAGTCCAACCTGGGGCTAGCACTATAGCACTATTTCTGCCGTTTTTCAGAACTTTTCTGCTTTTGTTTTTTGGGCAAGTTCAGTTAGATGTTGGTCCTTTCTGTTATAATCGCTAGACACATAGCCTGACCAATGCAGTAGAATTGTCTCCTTTTACAAATGAGGAAACAGAGGTTTAGAACAATTACTTGTGTGATTAATTGTACTAAGTAGCAAGTCTGGAATGTATATGCAAATATCTGACGGAAGAATGACACACACCTTTATCACATAGTGGGCCTTCGCCCATCTGTATAATGTAATTGCCTGCCTTCTCAGTGGACAAGTAGAGAATCACAGGTCACATGCCAGATGTGGCAGGCCCTATTCCTAACTGTCCTTTTGCTTGTAGTCTTGCCATCTGTGTCTTACTGTTTTCTTTAAATATAGTTTAATAGTCTATGAGGTATAATTCATCACTCATATTATTATTACTAATAGTAAACACTGGTATGTACTTTATCATATGCTAGGCAGTGCTTAAGCCCTTTATAGCATTTTAAATAATTTAATCAACAAAGCCCACATGGAAGAAGCACAACGGCATGTGTGACCACGAGCTGTCAGGTATCAAGTATCAGGATCAGGTATCAAGCATCCAAGAGCAAAAAATCATATCATTGTAAAGGTGGGCGAATGCAGAGTGGAGACTCAAAGCCCATCAGTAGGCAACTGTACACCCCCTTACTGAGGGGTTGTGGGGATGAGATGAGCCAATCAGGGTGCAGGGTAGTAATGATGAAATATATAACTTTCCTGTAGTTCATTAATGCTTCCTCCCCCCCACTATCATGATACCAATTCTACCTTACAAATCTGGATGGACCGGAGGATGTACATTGGTACAGATAGCAACTGGAAACACAGGGAATCCAGGATAGATGACTGCTTCAGGACCAGTGGTGGAGGGATGATGCCTGGAGGGTGAAGGGAATGTGGGGTAGGAAGGGGGAACCTATTACAAGAATCTAAGTATTGCCTCCTCCCTGAGGGACAGACAGCAGAGAAGAGGGCAGAGGGAAACATTGGACAGGGTAACTTATAACAAAACTATAATAATTTATGAACTATGAAGGGTTCATGAGGGAGGGGGGAGGGGGAAGGGAGGGGGAAAATGAGCAACTGATATTAGGGGCTAGAGTGGGAGGCAAATGTTTTGAGAATGATGAGGGCAACAAATGTGCATATATGCTTGACACAATGGATGTATGTATGGATTGTGATGAGAATTGTACAAGCCTCCAATAAAATAATTTAAAAAATAATTTAATCATGTGATGTATGTACCATTGTATCCCATCTCTGAAGAGGAAATGGGAAGAGATCAAGGGGTTAAATAACATATCCCAATATTACGTGGCAGTTACATAGGAACCAGCATCTGAACCCAGGGAGAGCCAATCTTAGCTTTGCTCGCTACAACACGATAAACATCATGATGCAGAGAGAAAAGACAGAGGCTGTCCAGGATATCACCTTTCTCGGATCCCCAATCGACATTCACCGAAGCTGTAGTCAAGGAATCAAATGGCGTACCGCATTGGGTAAATCCACTGCACAAGACCTCTTTACAGTGATGAAGAGCAAAGGTGTCACTTTGAGGACCGGAGTGCACCAGCCCCAAGCTGTGGTATAGCCAATCGCCTCACCAGGGCTTCACCAGGGATGAAGGCATTGGGGAGTGAGGAACAGAGGAACGTGAGCAGTGGCTGAACCAGTTCTCTGCCATTGAGCTGATTCCAACTCATAGTGGCCCTATAGAACCGCCCCTGTGGGTTTCTGGGGCTATAAATCTTTATAGGAGTAGAAAGCCCTATCTCCCTTCCGCTGAGCAACTGGTGTATTTGAACTGCTGACCTATGTTAGCCCCCTAAGCTAGCAGGGTTCAACTGTGAGGGTTGGACAGTGTTTTGTTCTGTTGTACTTGGCGCCAATATGAGTCAGCGCCGACTGGGTGGCATGGAGCAATCACAACATTGTGCCGCTTTTAAGTACGCAGTTGCTAGCCTAACGGTCAGCAGTTCAACCCCCTCAGTTGGTCCATGGTTGAGAAGATCTTATAATCTGCTTCCGTAGAGGTTGCGGTTTAGAACTCCTTATGGGAGCAGTTCTGCCCTCCGACACGAGGTCTCAGCGACATGGACTTGCCTTGGGGACATGAAACAGCAACAGTAATGTGCTCCTCCTCCTACCTATCAGCTGAGCATTCTTACGAGGCATGACCCAACTGAGTACGCTTCACTTATCCACAACTACTTCTTCTCTGACTATGGCTTTCCTGTAGGTGGATAGTATCTCTCTGCCCCATTGACTTTGAGCTTGGACACAGGGCTTGCTCTGACCTATAAACAGTGTCCCAGTTCTGAGGAGAGGCTGTGAGAGCAGCAAGTATTCCCTTGTTCTAGTCAGACAACTGCCTCTTGATCCAGGTGCAAGTTCCACAGGAGCACAATGAGTTATTCTACAATTCCCATTACTTTCAAAATTATCCATAGTTTGATATGATCCATACAGTCAAATGCCTTGGCATAGTCAATAAAACACAAGTAAACATCTTTTGAGAATTCTCTGCTTTCAGCTAAAGATCCATCTGACATCAGCAATGATATTCCTGTTCCATGTCCTTTCTGAATCCAGCCTGAACTCCTGGAAGTTCCCTGTCCATGACTGCTGCCACTGTTGTTGGATGAGCTTCAGAAAAATGTTACTTGCATGTGATATTGTTCTAAAATTTGCACATTCTGTTGGGTCACCTTTCTTTGGAACGGGCACAAATATGGATCTCTTGCAGTCAGTTGGCCCAAGTAGCTGTCTTCCAAATTTCCTGGCATAGACGAGTGAGTGCTTCCAGTGCTTCATCAGCTGGCTGAAAAGTTTCAATTGGTGTTCCAGCAATTCCTTGAGCCTTCTTTTTGACTAATGCTTTCAATGCAGCTTGAACGTCTTCCTTCAGCACCATTGGTTCTTGCTCATCTACTGCCTCCTGAACTGATGGTGTGTCTACTAGTTCACTTTAGTGTAGTGAGTCTGTGCGTTCTTTCTACTTTCTTTGATGCCTTGTGCATCATTCAACATTTTCACCATAGAATCTTTCAATGTTATAACTCAAGCCTTGAAATTTTTTTCTTGAGTTGTTTCAGTTTAAGATATGCCAACTGTGTTCTTTGCTTTTGGCTTTTTAATTCTAGGGCTGTTTTAGGTAATCCAAAATGTTGCGTCTTAAAACCTAGAAAATTCTCCTTAATCTTCAAGACCTTCTTTCTCCCTCATGACCGTCATTCTCACAAATATTTTCTCCCTGCTTGAAGTAATAATCTCTTCCCAATCTGAATTTCCTTAAACTTTATTATACATATGAAAATTTAATTTGCCATTTAAAATAAGAGTCACATTGTTGTCTCAAAAGTACCTCAGTGCCTGAGGGACCAGTAGGCGTCTCTCTTCAGTCAAACCAAGTTCTTTCTCCTTCAAAAATCCTAGTTCTTTTGAAGCCCATTCTATCTTACTACTTCTTCAGGTAGTTGTCATTTTCTGATTTCTGTAACATTCCCTTCATTTACTGGAGGTGTGAATACCTGGAACATTTTCCAGTTCTTCTTTATTGGTAATATCACTGGATGATCCAAACCAGCACCTTGTACCTTCTGTTTCTGCACCACTCTATTTCTTCATCGTTTGCTCTTCTCCATCTCAGGAATGCTAATGGTCATTTCTTCAACCTTACTAACACAATTAATTATAATATTTTCAAAATCTTGGTTTCAAACTTCCCTCTTTCTGATCACTACCTTTTATTTCCCTACATTATGATTCTATCTATCCAGTGAGAAATTATTTGACCGCACTGAGACCTTTCATCAACTGACACATCATGTTTACACAACCATTCGGCCGCTTCTTGGTTTGGCTTCCCTATTTATCAGGAATGGATTTTATTTTCCATCATTGTATTTACACCTTTGCAATCAGTCAAGAACTCCCTCATTTTACAAGACATATCAACCCACCCACAGAGATATTCCTATTCTCTCTCTTCTCTCCTGTAACTGTAGACAAGGTGACACTTCATATCCTGGGCTCATTCTTCCACCCTTAGTTTGTCCCAGAGCTCACGCTCTCCCATCTTCTATAGGACTTTTTGAGTACAGTCTGCCCATATATCTCTTGCATTATCTCTTGATATTGAATTATGACCGTTTTCAAATCATCATGCCCTAGTATGTCTAATATTTAAAACATATTCCCTTGATTATGATTACTCATTACCCTCCAGGTACAATCCATCATCTACACAATTAAAATTATTCTGCCTCCACCTCCCCAAGGAACAAGCATATTTGGTTGACTTGCCTTGAGTGAAATGAGTATAATGTGACTCCACTGTGGTGGTGTGTAGGGTATGATCAAGTTGGTTCTCACTCACAGTGATCCTACATACAACAACATGAAACACTGCCCAGTGGGTACCATCTTCACAATCATTGCCTGGTTTGAGCCCATTGGTGCACTCACTGTATCCGTTCATCTCCCAGGGGGTCTTCCTTTCTTCTGCAGACCTTCGGTGTTATCAAGCATTGTGTCCTCTAGGGATTGGTCCCTCCAGATAACACGTCCAAAGACATGATATGAAGTCTCGCCATCCTCACTTCAAAGGATCATTCTTACTGTATTTCTTCTATGAGGGGTTTGTTTGTTCTTCTGGTGTAGCGTATTCAATATTCTTAGATAACACCATAATTCAAATACATTAGCTCTTCTTTGGTCTTCCTATTAACTACCCAGGTCTTATATGCATATGAAGTGATTGAAAACATAATGACTTGGGTCAGGCGCACCTTAATTCTCAAAGTGAGATCTTGAGTTTTCAACACCCCAAGAAGTTTGTGGCAGTGAATTTTCCCAGCGCAATATATCCTTTGATCTCTTGGTTGCTGCTTCCACCAGTGTTGATTGTGGAACCAACTCAGATGATAATTTCTATATTTTCTCCCTTCAATTAGTATGTTGTTGATTGGTCCAGTTGGGGAGCCCTGACAGTGAAATGGTTACATGTTGGACTGCGATCCATATGGTCAGCAGTTTGAAACCACCAGCAGCTCTGCTAGAGAAAGACTCGGCTTTCTACTCCCATAAACAGTTACGGTCTCAGAAAGTCACAGGGATGTCACTGAGTCAGCACTGACTCTACAGTAGTGAGTTGCTGGTCCAATTGTAAGGACTTTAAAAGATTTTTGATGTTGAGGTGTCATCCACACTGAAGGCTGTACTCTTGGTCTTTTCCAGTGAGTGCTTCAAGTTCTTTTTGTTTTCAGCCAGCAAGGTGTGTCATTTACATATCGCAGGTTGTTAATGAGCCTTCCTCCTGTCTTGAGATCATGTTCTTCGTAGCATCAAGTTGCTCAGATTATTCGCTCAGCATACAGATTAAACAAATATGGCAAAAAGACGTTATCGTGGTACACACTCTTTTCTTGTTTTAAACCATGCAGTGCGTGTTTCCTTGCCATGTCCAAACAACTGACGCTTGGTCTGTGTACCAGTCCTGCGTGAGCATAACTAAGTGACCTGGCCATCCTTTTCTTTATGAGACTTCATTGTAATGAGATATTATCTATGATTCCATAGTGTAACTACTGTCATTCTAATAAGAGCATGTGCCGTCTAAGACAGAGACTAATTTTATGTGTGTCTTCTACCACATGTATAACCAAGAAAGTATTTGAACCACAGGTAAACCTAGGTCCAACTCAAATTATTTGCTTCTCTGGAAAAGCTACCATGTTCCGGACCTTCAGTAAATCAGAAAAGCTCTCAAAATCATGAGTGATAAAACAAAACAGAATAAAACAATGACAACGCAAACAAACAACCTACCCCTCACTTACTGACTCTCTCACTATATAATATTGGACATTCATGACAATAATAGAAAGAGTGACTCTTGTGAGTGCTAATGATGACATTTGACAGTATCAACTGACAAGGTGAGAGTGAGAGTAAAGCTGCCGTGCTGTGAGGGCTACGTGTTAACTCGTCTGGGCCATGCTTCTCAGTGGTTTGCTAGCTATGAAACCATAACATTTGGCAGTGTTTACATGATGTAGTCATCCTACATTTTATGAGCTGATGCTACCATCCTCCATTTTCACATCACATCGATTTTTCACATAATAACCTAATCTCTGGAATCTAACCATACCACAATTGTGGGGGAAAGGCCAGCCCTCCACAATGAATCACCGGTTCGATAGGCGCAATTGTACAGTTAATGTATATAAATATTATAGTAAAGTCCTAGAGAGCATGAGAAATAAAAGAGACATCGAAATAAAGGAGTCAGACACATTCTATGGAAGCATGCTCACCTCAGCCCCGCTTGGTGGTCCATGTGGAGGGAGGGGAAGGGGAAGGAGGATAAGGGGAAAGGGAGCAGGGGAGCGAGGAGGTGGGGGGGTGGGGGTGGGGAAGCTGACCAGAGGTCGAAGGGGCATCTTTATTGCTAACCAAGGCTTATATATCTTTGGGGGGAGTGCAAGCCCACTAATTACAGGTGAAGACATATGTCACAGGAAGGGGTTGCACTATAGGTTATACAGTAATGAGAGGGGGACAATCTAGGGATATACATGTAATAGGAAGAGGTGAGATTGGGGGTATACATGTGACAAGAAGGGCGGATCCTAGATTGAGGATGGCGGCCTAATTTTGAATGTCACTGAGCAAGCTTGACGTGTTCGCTGGCTCTCCATAGAAGCCATTATCAGTAGGGTGTACACCCCACCTACAGGGACCACGCTAAGGTTGCAAGCCTTTAGGGAGAAGTAGCCCATTGTCCTTAACAGCAGGGAGTGGGCCCTACCTGTGGTGGGACCAGACAGTTGTCTGGCAACTGACTGCCTTCAGGGAGGTAACTTGACAATCATTTACCATTAGTTGCAAGCAGTGCCCTAAGTCTAACATATATTTGGGAGAGATAACTTGGGAGAGAGCTTTCTGTTTCCCACACACAAGTGAGCAAAGTAAAACAACAAATCCAATAATGATGATAATAATAATTGAGGTTATTTCCTTCAATCTAGGACTAGCAGCTATCCGCAGTCATTTGGGTGCTAGGAAACGTTGGCACATAGCCACAGCACGAGGCTCCACGACCCATGTGAAGTCTGCCTGTAACTGAGAGCCGCACCCACAGTCCTCACTGCCACTTCCGTGCTCCTAAGAGACATGCTTCTCCACTTTGAGAAATCATGACATAAAGCAAATACCTTCTACGCCTTTGGGAGACTTGGGTAAATCTTCAGGTTGGTTCTGGATCGTGGATGCATGGGTTGTCACAGGACCTCCTGCTTTTGGAGGGTTAAACACATCTGAGACTTCTGGTCCTGAAGCCTCATGGGGCCTAGAATCTAGAAAATCCCAAACCAGTGTTATTAAGTGACGTCTTGGACAATGGTATAATTTCTTCCAATACTTGTAGTACTTCTTAAAATGAACAGGTCACTTTCCCCTGACTCTCTGTAGAAACCCACCGCTGTTGTTGAGTTGAATTTGACTCAGAGTGGCCCAGGAAGACAGAGTAGAGGCTGTCAATCTTTCCCAGAGCAGAAAACCTCATCTTTCTCCTATGGAGTGGCTGGTGGATTTGAATGGCCAACGGTGTCTTCTAAGAGAGCCAGTAAAATGTAGGGACTTTTTGTTATTAGATATATTGCTTATTCTTAACCAAAAGGACAGTTTTGAAAAATCTTGCACTCCCCAGGATCTGCTTAGTTCTTTCTGGGTGTTCTGGTCACATAGTAGAGCTGTTACCTTGATGGACAATGAAGCAAAGGTCAAAGAATTTGCTGGACTGTTATCTGGGAAAGGCAACTGAGATGGGATTACATGTAAATTTCCCAACTTAAACCCACTCATTACTATGAAAATGTGTCTCTATGAAAATACACTTCTTTGAGAAGTCTTTGCACTAAGAAACATATGTTAAAGAAATGTAGCGAAGACTGGGGAGGGAAATACATCTCAACTTGTATGCCAACTCTGGTTCAATCGTAGTGCCCACCTAGAGCACTGCATTGAACAACATCTCCGTGGCCTTGCGCTGTTTCATGGGAAACTGAGCTGTGATTGGTGAAGGAAGGTATGCCATGTGGGCAGGAAGTATGAGCAGCAGCACCAGGAGGGTTGATTTGTGATCTCTGATGTTTCCCTGCCACCTTTACCAGTGTCAATTCATCCTAACTCTTGGCTTGTCTTCATTTTCTTGAGTTAGCTTTTTCTGCTTTATGCTATGCTCATTACAAGGTGGCTGGGATTTAATCCAGTACAAAGTTCTTCTACCTCTGCATCTCATTTGATCTCTAACCTCTCCAGGCTACACCCCCTGACAATGAACACACTCCCCTGCATAGCCACACTACCACTGTCACATGCAAGTAAATAAACGGCCATTCACAATGTCCTCTACCTCCTGTTCCCTAAAATAGTCTTCATTACCCAGCTACAGGTTTCTTTTGTCTCAGTGCAGGATCGAAGCAAAATTTGTGTATTGTATTTTGTTTTAAATGTGTATTTATACTTATATAACCTATTTGATTTTTAATTGCTCTTTAATGTCTCCATCTAGAGTCTAGAACAATCATTCTATGTCTTTGTTTTAATGACATTGCTGTGTGTGTGTTGTGTGTGTGTGTGTGAAGAATCCAGGTAAATGTCTACCTGTTGCTATCAAGCCAAATATGTCTCATGAAGACACTGTAGGGCTCAGAGGACTGCTCCGGAGGGTTTCTAAGGCTGTCATCTGTAAGGCAGCAGATTGCCTCTGGGGAGCGGTGGGTGCGTCTGAACGCCTAACTAAAAGTTTAGTGGTTGAGCACTTAACCACTTTGCTACCAGGGTGTATTATAGAATGTCTACATGCAGAATTTGTCTGGATGTTTCCTTTTGGTAAGATTCAGGTTATGTTTTTTTAGGCAAGGACTCTACACAGGCAAGCTGTGCTTGCAATTGCATTGCAGTTCTCTGTTGTAAGGACGCATCTTCCTTGTTATAACTAGTAATATGGGGGAGGGGGTGATACTTAGACAACTTGTGAATTTCCTATTCCCCACAATCTTTTATCGGTCCTTGGGGTTTTACATTAGTCAGGTGTACTGAATGTTTAGGTAAAACTTAAGCATACAGGGAAAAAGAAAGCACTGAATTTTATTTACAGATTGATTTTCTCACAAAATTCAGCCAAAGCTTCATAGTAGGTTATACCACCAGCTGCTTCTAAGACAAAACGTAGTACAAACTAGTTACACTCTCTGCAGACACCATTTGATATGATTTTATTAAGTACCTATCACGGAGTAAGAAGCACATTCTTATGTTACCTGGAGGAGTACTAGATGCACTTGGAACAACACGCACTTTGTCTGCGGCCTTTTTCTTTGTTGCAGGCGGCAGATTTTTCGAAAGACTGTCCAGATAATTAAACTTAAAAGAAAGAGAACCAAGAAGACAGTTTAGACTTTCATGTGGCTGCAAGGCAGTTTCCACAAGCATGTTAAGTTCACGAGTAATGACCTAATGATCACGGCCAATCAAAACCAAGTTTACAAGTGAGACGTTCTTCATTTTACTACAAACCCACAATTTATGATGATTTCTCCCCAGGGAGTGTTGGACTCATAATGATTACAGAAACTGGGCAGCTGTGCACACAGGGAAAGATGCGCTTGGCTCAGGGTTGCGCCCAGCGCGTGCAAGGTCAGGTTGTCTGTGGTTCTAGTTCTAGTCGCATGTAGAAGAGGAGCACAGCCCGCTGCCCCGAGGAGCTTTCACCAACGCACCAGCACAGTGCCAGCTCAGCAGCGGATGAAACAAAAACTTCAATGTTTATCAGAAGAGATACATAGAAAAAATGTAATCAAAAACCAAGACTTGAAATAGATGATACCACCCAGTGTTATTGAGTTGATTCCAACTCATAGTGGCTGGTGGATTTGAACTGCTGACCTTGTAGTTCACAGCCCAATGACTAGTCTGCATCACTGTCAGGGCTTCTTAAAACCTTGGAGAAGGTGATTAATAGTGACAATTCCTAGCAAGGTGGGAAGGAAAGGCTGGTAGTGCAATGCTGCCGGAGAACTTCTATTGAGGCGTTAAATCAAACTCAACTCAGTGCCATCAGATTGATTCTGACTCATTAGGTGTGACCTGAAAACGTTCTTCTCTTTCAAATGCTTGTCAGGAAGTGGATGTGGAAGGCATTGAGTAGTTAAGAGTTGTTGGTTGGTATGACTGGTTAAGAGACTTGACTGCTAACCAGAAGTTTGTAGCCATGAGTCCACTCAAAGGTGCCGCAGGAGAAAGGCTTGGTGATGTTCGTCTGAAAGGTCAGTCACTGAAAACCTGGAGGAGCACAGCTCTACTCTGACACACAAAGGGTGCCATGAGCTTGGATTGACTCCCAGGCAATTGGTTGAGTTCCTCAGTCATACTGATGCAGGAGAGAACCACACGGTATCAGGAAAGGTAGCTAAGTATAACCACATACGCATTGCATCCACTTTGACAATGACTCTATTATAATTGATTACATGCCATTACCTGAGTCTGATATAACATGTTCAAGTCAGATTTGAAGTAGGGTGGCACTGTTTTGTTCCGAATTTCTGTTAGATACTTTTTGGTTTGTTCAATTTCTTCCCTGGTTGACGTTTCCATAAAAGTGCAAGAGAAAAGAGAAAGTTTTAAATATGTTATTTGCTTATACTTTATAGCTCTATCTTGAACAGATAGTTAATGGATTCACTAGAAGTAAAACTGGTAAGAATCTGAGACATCAGTCAGGGTATGACATGGAAAAATAATAATAAATTATAAATGATCAAGGGTTGGTGAGGGAGGGAGAATGGCGGAGGGAGGGGAAAAATGACCTGATACCAAGGGCTCAAGTAGAAAGAAAATGTTTGAAAATGATGAGGGCAACAAATGTACAAATGTGCTTGATACAATGGATGGATGGATGGATTGTGATAAGAGTTGTACAAGTCCCCAGTAAAATGATTTTAAAAAAACCCTGGTAAGAATCAATTTAGTAGACATCTTGGTCAACTTGTGGTTTATTTTTTACTTCTTTTAGAATCAGTCCCATTTCCTGCTTCAAAGTCAGATTATCATATAAGATAGGAAATAATTATAATACCAAGGTTGAGTTTGGTTTGATAGTTGGTCTCAAATGACCAGTGCTTTTTCTGTTACACACATGGCTCCTAGGGAAATACTGGCTGTGCCAAAGTATCGTCTTACATCAAGCAATTTGCCATCAAAACTGTCATATTTCTACTGCCTGACTGGATTCACTCATCAATCAAAGGCAATTCAGCCATTCACTACTGCACAGTACTCTTCTAAAACAGTAAAGGACAACAACAAAGATTCTACTAGATTACAGTTCTCTTTTTACCTTCCCTAATTCTCCCACATTTGACCCTTGTTGACCACCTTCCACATTTCCTTGGAGTTTTCACTTTCCTTATCCCTCCTCCCCAATCTGTTTCCAAACAGCCACCACTTGTCCTTCTGCAGCACACATCTAATTATGTGCTTCACATTCTTTCTTGAAAGAATGTCAATGGCTTGCCATTACCTATAGGTTAACATTTGAAGATGTTAATGTTTCCAAGTATTTCCAAATGTGAATATGTAGCATCTGAACTTGTACACCATTCAAAAGCTATTAAAGAATAGGTAATGAAAAGAAAGATCCATCTCCCACTCTCCCCTAGCCTCTCTACCTCCTTCCCCAGAGGCAATCCCTTGTCACCAGTCTTTGGGATATTCTTTCAGAGATATTCTGAGACAGTATATGTCTTTGTGTTGACCCCGTGTGGAGGTAGTGGCCCATGAGACTAAGGCCTTTTTCACCACTTCCCCATCACTGTCCACAAGGTAACCCTGACCTTTTGATTAGGAGGCATAGTCATCCTGGGAGCCATTCTAGAGAGGAAGTGAGGAAATGTTTACCATAGCATAATATTGGCTCCTATTCACTCACTACACGGATCTGGATTCTTTTTTTTTCTTTAATGAGGAGTGAGCTGGGGTTGGCGTCTTCAGCAAGGATGGGAAGGAAATCAAACACGATAATGTTTCGAGCATATTCTTCATGGGAATTACAAGAAGTCTTGCATGCTCTGACATTATTAGCCTATTAGAATGACCAAAGTGCAGAGGGATCGGAGACCTTTCTGTCTAGAAGAGAGAGAGAGAGGGCATCTACTGAACAGTCAAATCGGCTTCCCCAAGAGTGAATGACATGGCCAACCACAGCTAACGCATCATATGGCAGAAATGTAGAGAAGCGATTCAAACAACACCTGTGAGCCTGTATAAGACTTTCCATTTGAGCCCACACTACAATTCTATGGCTACCCATGCTAGTGCCTATACCAGAGTAGATTTACCTCTTTTGCTTCATCTTTTCTTGCCAGGACTTTGATTGTGTCCTATTCCTTTGTGAGAGAAGGGAACATACAATGAAAAGGGAGAAAGGGACAAGGGATAACGCTCTCAGCACAAGCAAAACTATCATATGACAAAGGGTTCACTATGGCTAGTTACCAGTTGTTAACTATTGTTACAATAGTTCAAGAACCCTTTGTCATGTAATGGTAGTGCTTGCTCTACTTGCTTGCTTGCAGGGCTGTGAACACTGATGCAGCCACCCTTAGTGCTGACCCTGCCCTGCTCCCAAATCACAGCATGCACACCACTAAGTGGGACATATTAGTGGATCAGCTTACCTCCATTGCTTTTCCAAGAAATCTTTAGTGAACGGATCCGGGAAACATTTTGGAACTGTCGTTATACTTTGCTTGTATAAATTGCACAGGTGGGCTGCAACTTGAAAAACAGATACTTTTAACTTTTATCCTTGTGCCTTTAAAGCACAAAACATAGCATTCAGTGTACTCATTTGAGTTGCTTTTTAAATCTCTCAGGGTTTACTAGAATTTCTATGTTCTATATAGAGAAATATCCTATTCAATTACACCTCCTCCTTTAGGGAAAGCAGTGTTCAACCTAACTGAACTTCCTATCTGAAGCATTGAAACAAACAAACAAACAAAGGACCACTAGATTGAAATTATTTTTCTGAATATTTGCCTGCACCTTGAATCTATGGTTATGAAGATAATACAATGGTTGTTTGATAATTGGATCCGTGTTTCTCATCAGAGTTTATTCTGGTCTTGGTGGATTGTTAAGAGAAGATTAATAAACCAAAAGGTTTATGAATTTGGGAAACGCTGACTTATACAAGGTGGAATACATTTTTGGTAACTATGGGACATTTCTGTGCCCCTCTGTGCTTGCAGCTCTATAAGAAATGAAAACAATTTGCAGGATCATCTATACTTGTTTAATGGCAGAACTCTTTATTTTTGGTGGAACCATCCCATAAACAGATATGTCATGAAATACTTTGGGGAATGTTGATTTAGGATCACCACTATTAATATGGCAGGAGCAACCAAAAGTATGCAAGCAGCTGTTGGTTTATTTTTTTTAAAAGCTTTAGGTTGTCCTTCACCATTTGAAAATTGGATGTTTATCTCTGTGGTGCCTGCTCTTTTGGGCAGTGCCTATAAATTCAAATGCCCACAGGATAGGGCTACAGAGAACCCAATTAATGTTCAATTTCAGATTTTAAAAATGATTTTTTTGTTAGTATTACATAGTACAGGTGTCTCATGAGGCATTCTTGTACTCGAAAATTATTGTTTGTTGAAATTCAAATTTAACTGTGTCGGTTGTATTTTTATCTGCTGACTCTAGCAACTCTATTAAGGAGCCTAGTGGAGCTGTAGGGAAAGTACTGAGCTGCTAACTCCAAGTTTGGAGGTTCAAACCCACCATCCATCCCTTAGAAGCAAGATGAGACTATCTGTTCTAATAAAGATTTACAGTCTTGGAAACTCACATGGCATGATCAAGAGGAAGGACTTCCTTGATAGTAGTGGGTTCTGGCAAAAGGCCTCCACCCTCCAAGTAGAGTGTGATAACAGGAGTTAAAGAGAGACATTGGAAGCCTTCTAAAAAAGGCAACATATAACACCCTTCCAGGGTGATGAACAACAGAAAAATGGGTGAAGGGTCAGTGTAAGACATGAAAAATATATTAATTTATAAACTACCAAGTGTTCATGAGTGAGGGAGAGCAAAAAGGGGGTGGGAATGAGCTGATATCAAGGGCCCAAGTAGAAAGAAAATGTTTTGAAAATAATGATAGCAACATATGTACAAATGTGCTTGATACAATGGATGTACGTATGGATTGTGGTAAGAGTTGTAAGAGCCTCCAATAAAGTGCTTTAAAAAAAAGGCACTGCTAATCAAATGTCATCGTGTGGTGATGTGACATTTTAAAAAGAGGAAACGAAATCAAGGCGAGATAAAAACAACCATCAACAGCAACAACAAAAGCAAAAACAAACCCGACTCAATTCTAGAGACTTATAGGACAGAGTACAACTGCCCCTTTGAGTTTCCGAGACTGTAACTGTTCTCCTGAATGGAAAAGCCCGTCTTTTTCCTAAGGAGCAGCTGATGGTTTCGAACTGCCAACCTTGCAGATTGCAGCCCAATGTGTAACCAGTATGCCACCAAGGCTCTTCTGCAACAATAATAGCAACAACAAAAGCAAATATGGAAGAAAAAATCGTGGAAGACAAACAAAGCACAACTCAGGCTGAACGAAAAGCCCATGGCTGCCAGATATTGGATGAACTTTGCCATATAGCTAAAACCCAAACCCAAACCAACCAGCTTCACCACCTGTCTGCTGTGGGCTATAAAACATATAACCAAATCCACTGGGGCTGTGTGTATCCTCAAATAAATGTAATTTAAATGACAACCTCTTTCAAACAGTGAATGGCCTAAGCTATATGTTGTGTAGAACAGGGCAAGGATTGGTGATATTTCTGTGGTTGTTCATGTTCCGTGTGTGATCAGGAGTGGATGAGATGGGTGGGGTGCTGGCTGGTTCATGATTTGCTTCTTACAGTTTAGTTATCTTCTAAATAATTTAGGGTGACACAAACAAATGTCCTCTTGCTTCCTTCAACAGATTAAAGTTACAGATTACTTAGAAGTAATCACAGTTCTCAAAGAACCCACAATCTAGACAGAATCGGGTATATAAATAAATTATCATAATACCACTTGGTCAACCACAAACAGATGTGTATATGGGGCTTTACTATTGTTTGAGAACATGCCTGATAGGAGTGCTTAAGTTTGTTTTATTTGTAAGTATATTTTTGAAAAATATTAAAAGTCAGTTACCTTCAGTGACATGACTTTTGGTAGTCTCCTCTATCTTAGGGAAAGACTGAAAGGAAAACAGAGTTACTCAATGATGATGATTATGTCACATACAAAATTCACGTTGCTCAGAAGCATTGTTTAAACTCATGCAAACTACAATAAAATGAATTGGTTCTTCAATGTTAATATAAGAGTATATTTGATTTCTCTTAAGTCACTTATGGAATTAAAAAAATGGAAATAATTTTAAGTTGTGGAAATTTCTCTTCCTTATCTTATCCCTACTATTCCATTCATCCATTCATTTAACATTTCAGTTAATTCCAATTTCTCCAAAGACAATATAAGCTGTTTTATTTAAGTGCTTTATGAATTAGTTATACCCAAAGGGAGAACCTAAAAAGCATCTGGAAAATTAAATGTATCGGGACTTCGATTTCCACAGAAATGAGAACTGATAAGGAAAGAACATTTTCATTTCAGAGAAGTGGAAGAAATGGCTGACTTATGTCATGCCTTGAAACATCGACTAGTGACGCCGGAGTGAAAACACCACCATAGGAGAGAGACCTTTCTTCCTCACCATCACTAACTTGAGGAGATCTGTAGCGTTGCCTCGCTCCTCCTCGGTTCTGCAATCTTTAACTGTCATTTCCTGTAGCTCATCTTCTTTTTGGAGAATATGGTTGATATAATCCTGGATGAGCAGAATAAAATTACTCAAAACAACAACAACAAACGGAAACAAGCTAGGGAGAGATGTACTAAAATAGTCAGCACCAACGTTATAGAACACAAAGAGGGTAAGAACATATAAGCTCACAATGCTCAATCAGTTGTTTAAGCAATCTACAAAGCATGGGCCCGAATGTTCTATGTCAGTAAGACAGAAGATTGGAAGAGTCCAAAGACAGCATCGAGAACCACAATATGTTCGAATTACATGGGACCTCAGAAAGGCCTGACTTCTACTTACATGCTTCTGTTTCTTTATCAATAAAATGGACTGAGTTGAGTTTGATGGTATCTAAAGTCCTGTCCAGGTCAAAGAGAGTCTCAGAAACCCACCGGGGCAATTCTACTTTGTGCTATAGGGTCACTGTGAGTCAGCATCGAATCCACAGCAGTAAGTTTCCTGGTCTAATATTTATGACTCTATCTATAAATACAAGGTGCTCAGTCCATTCTTTTGCTTCCAGCACACATACATTTCACTTTTCTACCAAAATTTTTTAAAAGTAACAATTCCCTCCTAAATACCAAGTGCTGGGTATATAAAAGTAAACAAAACACACATGGTCCCTGTTCACAGGGGGTTAACAAACGAGGAAGTCAACTGTTACACATTTACAAATACCTAATCCAATTCCCAAAACTTTTTCTCCCTTTAGCCCCTTCTTATATGGGCAATTATCAGATCAGCATATAGTTTTATCTCTTTCCATTGGTCAACGGATCAGTTTTCCATATAATGAGCAAGAAAACGGAGTCTATCTGGCAATCATTTATATAACTTACTTAACTTCTCAATATCTTTTGGGTCTCTTAAGGTTGCACACAACTTATGGGAACCATTAAACAGTGTCTCAGCCCTCTAAATTCCCCTCAACCTCTTCAAACTCTGGGAGACTGACATACATGCATCTCATTGGACTAATTCTGGTTGAATTACATAATTTCCGATTCTTCAGGAAGCCGAGAGGAATAATTGCCCTATCGTTGTTTCTTTGGGATCAGGTTACCTGGATTCCATTACCTTTAGGGAAACTTGCAGCCTCAGCTTCAGTTCATTTTTTATGACCTCATGCTGGATGAACTGGCGGACCTGCAGCACTTTGGGACCCTTGACTATAGGGGCTGGGGCACACACGAGCTTTTTGCAGCCAATGCAAAGGCCTTTCCAAATCTGAGTGCCAAATGGAGGTCCTGGAGTTTTTTTCTGTTAACAAAACAAACGGGCAGCCCCCCCGACCCCCAAAACAAAATCAGATTATGTGAGCATTAGATTTTGTTTTTCTTACTGAGTACATATTACATAGAGACCACATTAGGGACCCTTTGTTAGAGAAAACAATAATGGAAAAAATATGATCCTTGCCCTTAAAAAGTTCTACAAAATGTACGGAAGGATTGATAACTGTGCTGAGTGAGTTTGTCCTTTATATGTGTTGCCAAGAATCTAGATGTTTTTAAATTCTGCTACATGATTTTCCCATGGCTTACATTTAGAGAAGAGCTATTCAAGGTCACGGTTATGCAATGCAGCTTAGCTTATGCCAAATCCAGGCAATTATTCCCCAATCCCCCTAGGTAGCGTAAGAATTGATTTAGAATTAAGCAATCTGGAATTTCTTGGCTTCCTGTTCATTCTTACCTAGATATGCTCTTTAAGAAAGAAACTCTCCTATATTTGGGCCACCTTTGAGGTCACCCTGGCTTACACATGCCTTCAGAGTATTCTCTGAAACTTCTGCCCTAGAATAAATTTTAGATTATCCTAATAATTGATTTAAGGAGTTGTGTGCATTGGTCCCCTATGTTATGAAGCATGCCCAATGTGCTTCATTTCAAATAGCTAGTCCTTGTCCACGGTTTGGCCAGTAACATCCAGTTACACTGGGTCATTCCTACTGGGAACACAAGGTAATAGAATAAAAGATTTGGAGGAAGAAAATAAACTTCCTTCATTAATCTCTTATGCGACATATGAACTTAGTCATAATGTTATGCTTTGAACTTGGATATTACCTTAGTGAACTATTTTGTATGGCCTCTTTATTTCTTAGATGAGGTTATAGAAGGCCAGTGTGACATGCCCCAAATCACACAGTAATGAATAATTACTTCCATCTCACCAAGTTTATTATGGTCACCAAATTAAAACAGGAGTGAAATGTTATCTAAGTGTTCATTGTTTGTGCCCTTGCTCTGAGGAAATTGTGTAGTGTTTTAGGTACAAAAGAGATCCCAATCGCAAGTATAATTTAAGGAGAACATTTATTAAGTCTTAAAAGGGACAAAGACAACACAAAGGCACAGACATATCATATGGATGAGGGGCCGTAGCACTAGGTCAAAATGGCATCCAAGGTTTCTAGTTAAGTAGGCATGGACCAAAGGGAACTATCAGAAGTTCATGATTGGAGCTGATCAATAGATCACAGTTACAGGGCGCACTACAGAAGCAGGAGCAGGGCCATGATTGGAACATGTACATTATGTTAGATGGAAGGGCTAACAAGATTGGTCCAAGGCTACTTGACCACGGCAGTCAGGTCAAGACTGATAGGTATGATTCTTGACTCTGAGACTCCATGTACTGTCCTAGTATGGACAACCCCTAAGAGAAAGTGCCTCTCCCTGGGCTGTCTGGAGAATGATGGAGGTATTTTTTCCCCAAATTCAGTGTGCCTGAGGGGAAGATCATCTTACATCCATGGCTAATGATCAGAAGCACTTCAAGGAAGGCTCAATCTATGAGGGCATTCTGCCGGTGGATCTTGGGCTGTCACTGCCATCCATAGCCTTCTGCAAACTGGGGTGCTCAGGATTTAAACTCTAATACAGTAGCAAAAATCATCACACATCAGACACATTTTCCTCCTCATTTAACACTAGTCCTTCTTTCTGATTACATTGTTAATGTCTTCCTTGATTGAAAAATGTTATCTGACAATACTGGGCATATTATGTAAATTGCTTGACACATGAAGTGGCAAGCGTTGCAAGATTCAGGCCCTCACTATTCTTCTCCAAGATCGTTTCCTTTAGCCTTTTAGACACTTAAGAGTGGGCTTCTCTAGTCTGACAAAATTACCATGTTTACTCTTGAACATAAAAGTTTTCAATCACTGCAATCCCTCACATTATTCTTATGTGTACAATCAGTGCATTTTTTCATATCTGGAGAGATACAAGGAAGTGTTAAAGACCTCAAATGGAATAGCAAAGGGAAGATTTCCACAATATAATATCAGTCGGTCCACCATGACCGGAGAGGTAGAATCAACATGGGTTACTAAGATTGGGTCAAGCCTTATTGTATAGCATACGATAAAGAAAATAAAAGCTCAAATACCTGATTTCATTGTCAGGTATATGTGACAGGTATACATATCTATAAATATTAAAATCTTCACGTGCAGACCTTCTGAAGCCCATTAAAATGAGCCCTGGTGATGCTGTGGGCGAGACATTGAGCTCAAGGTTGGGACACTCAAGTCGTTGTGAGGGAGAAACATGAAGCTATTTGTCCCCATAGGATTTCCAGAGATGCGGAGTCAGAATCCACTTGACGGAGGTGGGTTGGGTTTAAGTCCATTACAATGTCTCATAAGGAGGAAAATGTATGAAAGCATCACATGACACCAGAATCTCTGGTCCATCCATGGCAGAATATGCAAGCAAAATACCTTCTAAGCCGAAAAGTTCATACCTCAACAGAGGGAAAGTTCTCCCAGGATCGTGATTGGAGATTAGGAGGCACAATCGTATCCAGTTCTTTCTTCATTAGCCAAGGTGATGCTTCATGAAAAGGGCGCAGGACGGTGATGCTCAGGGCCCCTGATTCCAAGAGAGTTCTCAGAAAATCTTTTTTTTTTCTTTCAATTAAAAGATCATTTTATTGGGGGCTCTTACAACTCTTATAACAATCCATATATCAATTGTATTAAGTGTATTTGTACACATGTTATCATCATTATTTTCTTGATATTTACTTTTTATTGAGCCCTTGGTATCAGCTCCTATCCCCGCGCCCCGCCCCCAAAATCATTTTTATGTCAAGATTACTCTGAGAAATGGTTCATTACACCCTACAAACACTTTTTGAAACTTCTACATAAGCATATAAATGATACCTGGAGATAACACTTAAGAATCTTACAATCGAAAGAGAATGAGACTTACAGTCACAACAATGCCTAGATGCTGGAGCTAGATGCCCTACTCCTAGACCACTCAGGAGTATGGACTGACACCTAAATGGGATGTCTTATGAATGCAGGCTACACACCTGTCTTAGCTATCCATTGTGTCCCTAACACCTCGTCAGTATTTGACACACAGTGGGTTGTCAAGTGCACGTTAGTTAACTGACTGACTGACAAAGCAATGATGTGAGTTCTAGTTCTACCACAGTTCCTCACCTGCCCTCCATAACCAGCCAGAGCCGTATTCACAGAAAAAGAGCCAGGCGCATTACCTTGCACATATGCACTGAAATGCTGGAAGATCTAAGCTCCCCAGAAATGCAGGCATATTCGTAAATGCACACAAAATTATCCAATTAAACAGAGAAAAAGTAAAAAACAAGCATACACACAAGCCTAGATGCAGCATTTCTTTGTACCCAGATTAAGATCTAGTTTTATAACTATATTTAAAAGCCTACATTATTATAGATACTAATGTTTTTACTTCATGAAATATGCCTCTGAGACCACCATCTACACTGATTTTTTGAACTAGATTAAAACAACATAAGGTGCCAAAATAAATATAATTTAGAGAACACCATCTATTTTTAGTTGACATTATAATTGACACATCACACACACTTTCCCATTTCAATAAATACCATCACAGTGAGACTTGTCAAAGAATTTAAAAGAGAAACCTCAGTTTTTTCCCTACTGAGATAAAATGGACACATGAATAGGCATCTAGGTATGCCTGAACAGACACAAGACAGACACAGACTGCTCAGAGGTAGGAGAGGTGTTCATATACACAAACAGCTTATATAAGATTATGTTCAGATTCAATTTGATATGAACATACATTCAAGCAACTACATAAATAGGTCAACATGGACTGACAGGTGGAAAGGGAAGGAGGCAAGCGAGTGTGGAGTGAGGGGGTGGGGGGTAGTGGGGGGCAGGGGGAGATGTAGAGAAAATGAAGGAGGATGAGAATTGGTGAAGGGACACAGTGAATTCCAGGGAGGAGCTTGTCTCTACCTGGCTGTTCCTGTACCGGCTCTTGGAGAACTACAGTCATGGGTTCTCCGTATGCCATGGAGAGATATTCCTCTATGTCAGTGTCTCGAAGAAGTTCTACTCCAGATCCATCCGCATAGATAACAAAAAATCTATTTGAGGAAATAAAAATCTGATCACTTGAAGTATTCTGCTAAAGTACATATTCCATCCCCCCCCCAGCTTGAAAGTTAAAACAACAAACAAGTTGATTATTGTCATTTACCTGGGGATATGTTCACCATAGATTTGCAGATGATTCTTCTGGAGGTGCAGAGATGATAAACTGTCATAGCCCTCAGTATTTGAATTCATCTCCTCTTCAAATGTGTGCTCAGGTAAAATAGTTGATGCACTCCCATCAGCCATGACCTAAAGAGAAAAGCAGAAGAGCGGTCAAAAGAAAGCAAGCAAGCAGATGTCATGAAGCTTAGATTTTCCATGTCCAATTTGAGAAAGGAGATGATCTTTGGATATACTCAGAAAATCAGGCATGTTTATTTGCAAGGCATTTCGCACCAAGTATAAAATCCATTGAGTCGATTCTGATCCAGACAACCCTGTGGATCAGAAGAGAACCACTCTCTAGAGTTTCCAAGGCTATGAATCTTTAAGAGAGAAGATAGCGTCATCTTTCTCCCAAGAAGCTGGCCCGTTCAAACTGTTGATCAGCTATTGTGTAACCAACTATACTGCCAGTATAGTTGGCTACACAATGTCAATATAGTTGATTACACATTATCACTAAGTATAGATTTAATTAATAAAAGTTAAAATGTAGTAGCGCCTCTCTATCTACAGCCCACCCCTTGAATGTGAAAACCAACAGACAAAATCAATGCATTCAGAAAAGACTACTCGTTGGAACTGGCTATTCAGTTGATGTTGGGTTGGGTTGCCTTCAAATTGGCCTTCAAGTCATGGTGATCCCACGCACAATGAGATTGAACCATTGTGACCCATAAGGGTTTCATTGGCTGATTTTTCGAAGTAGGTTGCCAGACCTTTTTCCTTACCTGAATTCACCTGGAAGCTCTGCTGACACTTGTTCCCCATCACAGCCACATTGTGCTGTGATTCAACACTCAGTAGTTGCTGCAAGTGCGGTACAGTGCCTGGGAACAGAGCTTGGGTCTCTTGCATGGAAAGCAAATATTCCACTCACTGCCCTTTCTCAGTGATGATTGTTGTCAATTGGCCTGGAATCAATTACACCTCATTGTGACTCCATGTCTGCATAGTGCAACTCTTCCATGGGGTGTTAAGGTTGGGACCTTTCAGAAGCAGATCACTAGAGCTGATTTCAGGGGTGCCTATGGGTGGGTTTGAATGGCTAACCTTAAGACTAGTAATCGAGTGTGTACCCAATTGAATCACATCTCACAATATTGCAAAGATAATCCCATGGATGAGGGCTTGCTTCTGTGATTCCAAGGGCAGAATTAAGATACATGGGTTAAAGGCATCAGGAAACAGACTTACCAGCCCTGGTCAGTAGAGCTACCCAGATACCCCACGCATCTCATCAGAGAGGTGTGTGGTGCAGGCTAAGGGCCACGGGAGAGATGTCCAGGAGAAGGAACAAAGCATGGGGCTCGGAGCGCCTAGATAGCGCAACTCAGACACTTCACCGCAGAAGATTTGGGACTATACGCTTCAAGTGCATTGTAAATTGAACTTTGTTGGAAGGCTGACAATACACCGTAAAAAAGTCTCATTTAGTTAGCAAAGAAAAAAACGATGTGGATCAGGGCTTGTCTGCACACCAAGGCAAAGAGGGGGACTCCGGATTTGTGGTCTGGCTCCAAAGCTAAAAAACTCATTTCCATACCTGCTAGTTGATAGATGAAATCCTACTGTTACATAAGATACGCAAGTAAAAGAAGAGGCAAACGAAAGACAGCAAGTGCCAAGAGCAAGGGTGGGCAAAGATTTTTCCTGTTCAGAACTAGGTAGAAAATATTTCAGTGTCTGCAGACCACACGGTCTGTTACAACAACGCCACTCTGCCATCATCGTGCAAAATCAGCCCGAAGAGAGCGTGCGACCTCTTTCCTGTGCTCCAGGAAAACTTTATGACACTGACATCTGAATTTCCCCTAATTTTTATGTCGTGCAAAATCTTCTTCTTGGAATTTCTCTCCACCCATTAAAAAAATATAGCAGACCGTTAAAGACACATGGCCTGCAGAGTTGTGATTTGTCAATGCTTGACCTAGATGTGTCCCTGCGTGGTTCAAATGTGTGATGCTAACAGAAAGTTCGGAGGTTCAAGTCCACCCAGAGATGCCTCAGAAGAAAGCTTTGTAATTCACTGCTGAGAAATAACCATTGAAAACCTGACGGAGCACAGTTCTACTCTGACTCTGCTCACGGAGCGGCCGTGAGATGAAAACAGCTCACAAGTAACCGCTGGAGGTACCGCCTAGCGATGGTACACAGGGCAGAAGAACAGAAAATAAAATCACAGCACAGGATACCTGGACACCTCTTCAGACTTTCCACCTCTACGATCCAACCTGGCAGCTCACTAATTTACATGTCTCCCCATGGCCTCTGCCTGGCCACACAACCCTGTCTGCTTCCCCATGTGTCTGCTCTCACTTACCTGGGTACAGGACCATTCTTGCATCATTCCTTTTGGTGGCATCGTTTTTAGATGTCTGCGAAACGTTCTCCCTTTCTGTTCTGATGATTTATTTGGCTTTAACGTGTCTACCGTCCCAACTGGGGGGGGGGGGCTTTATACTTGAGAACCAAAGGGAAGAAAGTGGCCATCATGAAAGTTTGCCGGTATATGCCAAGGCAATGACGGTAAAAGGCCTTGGGAAGCTTTACCGGTGGACGACCTCAAAAGCGTAGCCACAGGCTCACATTCAAAAATGCACTTTACCTGGAAAATGTTTCCCTCAGGATCCATGACCTCACAGAGAATCTCTGACGTGTGCTTCATGATGTACTTGCTAGCTCTCAGCTGGTTACGCTTTGGGAAAGGATAGTATAGCTCACTGTTTGATTCATGGTAATATATAGCTGAACAGTCTCTGTCAATATAAAGACAGCCTGTGCTTGAAGGTAACACCTGGAAGGACAACAGAAAAAAAAAGAATTAAAAAACAATTAAATAGAGAAAAGTACTAGGAGGCAAAGGGCATTTATATAGGTATAAATTCAGGCACATACATATGTAAGTATATTTATTTATCACGATAGGGATATAGGTCTATGTACATATATTTATATGTTAAGTATTAAGGTAGCAGACAGGCATTGAACCTCCATTCAAGTACTCCCTCAACGCAAGAACAATTCATTCTAATTACTTGGTATTCTGTGATGCTCACCTTCCTGACATGATTGCTGAAGACAAAATAGATGCATAAGCAAATGTGGTGAAGAAAGCTGATGGTGCTCTTAAAGGCTTGAAGATAAATAATTGGTCATCTATCTGGGAAGCAACAAAGCCCACACGGAAGAAGCACACCAGCCTGTGTGACCATGAGTGTCAACAGGATCAGGTATCAGGCATCGGAAGACACAGAACAAACAATCATATTGTTGCAAGCGATGGGGGCCAGAGTGGAGACCCAAAGCCAATCTGCAGACAATTGGATTCCCCTCACAGACGGGTCACAAGGAAGGGATGAACCAGCTAGGGTGCAATATAGTACCGACAAAACATACAACATTGCTCTAGTTTTTTAATGCTTCCTCCCTGCCACTATCATGACCCCAGTACTACCTTACAAATCTGGCAAGACCAGAGAATGTATACTGGTTCAGATAAGAGCTCCTGGCACACAGAATCCAGGACCCTCAGGAACAGTCATGTAGTAGTGATACCATGAGGTTAAGGGGAAGGTGGGGGAAGAAAGGGAGAACTGATCTCAATGATTGTCTTAGAACCAACCCCACCCTCATGGGATGACAAACAACAGAAACAGGGGTGAAGGGAGCCAGCAGATGGTATGAAATATGAAAATAATAATTTATAATTTATCAAGGATGCAAAAGGGTGGGAAGGTGAGGGAGGGAGGAAAAATTGAGGAGCTGATACCAAGGGCTCAAGTCGAAAGAAAATGTTTTGATAAGGATGATATGAAACATTTTGAAAAGGCCACATACGTACAGTTGTGGTTAACACAGTGGATGTATGGATTGTTATAAGAGCTGTAAGAGCCCCCACTAAAATGATTTATTAAAATTAAAAAAATTCTTAGTCAATTTGGAGGACTTGGAAGATCATTTTTGGAAAAAGGTTTTCCACAGGTGCTAGTCACAAATTTAGTGCTTCCAAGAAGAATGCACCACCAAAGAAAAGATTTACGGTTTGCAAAGAACTTCCTGATACAGAGACAAAGTGAGTGATGAAACTATAGTTTCTCTTGTGTTCTCACATTTCATCTACTTGCTTTAATGTCTCTTTGTTATAATTTTCCTATACTATTTTACTTTGTATAGATTAACCAAGGTAAAGACTCTTGATATTTGCTTTCATTATTTAACATGGCAGTTACAACTCTAAATTTCCTTCCGAGCACTGCTTTCGTTGCACTCCATAAGTTTTAGAACATTGTGTTTTCATTTTCATTCATCTCACTATATTTTCCAAATTCTCTTTTGCCTTCTAACCCATTTAATTTCTGTGTGTGTGAAAATTCCCCAAATTTATTTCTGTTACTGAGTTTTAATCTCAGTTCATTGTGATGAGAGCACATAGTTAGTACACTTTCAATCCTTTAAACGTTATTGAGAATTATTTTGGGACCTAGTATATGTGTATACTGGGAAATGATCCATGCCTGCTGAAGAATGACTACTGATGACTGGGGAGTTCTATAGCTGTCTGCTTGGTCTAGTTGGCTACTGTGTTGTTCAAGTCTTCTACTTCTTTTTGATCTTCAGAATAACTCAAACAACTGTTATTGAAAGTGAAATATTGATGGCTCCAACTATGATTCTAGATGGCCTACTGCTCATTTAATTTGTCAGAGGCTCAATAATGATAATAATAAAGAACAACCAGAGTAGTCTATTTTAATAGATTACAGGATAAAAGATCAGGTCATGGAAGATAAAAGAGAAATGCAAAACAGATACAAAATTGGGTGATCAAAAGGAGCAACAGTGGTTTATATTCCACTGCCCCGGAGGTGGGCTTTCTAAGCAGAGTGGATTCTTACGGTTGATGCCCCTCCATTTTCTCTTGCACCTACCTGGTATGTGCCTTGGGGCTTTGCAATAATAGATGTCCCATCTCCGAAGGTGGCACAGCAGCTACTGTCCTCGCAGTTGGTGATGACAGTGGCATAGTGTGAGTTCTCTATCCGCATGCACTTCACCTGCCTGGTGACTGTCTGCAGATCCTCGGCTATAAGCAAACACAGGGTGGGCGGATTGGGTGGGTGGCATGTGACTGAAAGCAGCTTTCAGCTGGCTGAGTCTGCAGCTGTCTTCTGACTGGCTGGGCTCTCTAGGGAAACAACCCAGTGGCGAAAAGGTACTGAATGCTGAGAACGCCGCAGGGTTACAGCACGGCCCACTCTCGTCATCGTCTCAGGAGAATCCTTTCTACTTACTGTCCTGTTTTATGCCCATGACTTCGTCTCAAGAAACTGGAAGCATTCACAAAAGCACCATAGGCAATTTCACCACGTGCAAATCCATCAACCAAAAATTATACTTGTGGCTGTTTTGCCAGAGTTCCTTCAAAATGTAAAATATTTACATAGGAAAAGTTTTACCGAAGACTTGAAATTAACTTTTAGCCTTATTCTTGAGTATATTCTCCTCCCTTTTAGTCCATTTTCACCTCTTATAAAATACATGTCTTAAGAATATATTCAAGGGGTAGGGGTCAAAAAACTTATGGGAAATCCCATTATCTTCTAAATCCATTTTTTTCAGTGAACTTTTTGAAGGCTCCTTGTCTTTTAGATATTGTTTAAATTCACATAAATGATGTATTTGTGCATCATTCAACACATGACTTTTCCCCTCAGCCGTGTTTTGGGACTTTTAGCCATGTGAGGAGGAGGAGCTCCGCTGTTTGAGGGGTAAGCAAATGACTGCTCACCAAAAGGTCAGCAATTCGAGTCCACTAGCTGCTCTGCTGGAGTCGTGGTTACACGTTGGCTGCGATCCACAAGGTCCACAGGGCAAAACCACTCGCGGCTCCGTGGGGGGAAAGACAGGGCTTTCTACTCCCATGAAGAGTGTCAGTTCCACCCCGACTATAGGGTGACAATGAGTGGGGCCTGGCCTTGATGGCAGTGAGAGTGAGCGAGAGCTGCCTGGCGGGAGAAAGATGTCTCCGTCGCCTGCGGTCAAGATGACAGACCTGCAAGCCTGACGGGGTGCTCTGTTCTGTTCCATGGGGTGGTAATGAGTTGGAATCACCTTGAAAACAACAAATTCCATTTCGTGATTTAGGTTGTATGTGTGTGCGTGTGTTTCATTCCTTTCAACTGATATGTAATTGTCGCTTATAAGAAGTAGCTATGTTTTTGTTTCTCTTTTGCCACTGATAAACGTTTAAATGTTTCACCAATGTCTTGATTTTATATCCCATACGTCAAGGTTTTCTTGTGAAATTAAAGTATTTTACACAAATAAAACACATGCTACACTTTTATTTTGCCTCCTGTGCTCCCCCATGGGGTATTTCATATTAGCAGAGTGCACTTCTGAAAATACCCGGAGGCAGGTGTGTGGGGAGCCTGACTGGGGAAAAAAGGTATAACATGCACACTGTGCCCAGAAAACACAGTATGTCAGAGTATCTCAATATATATTCAGAAGTATGTGTGCATGTATTCATTGTTGTTGTATTTCATTTTGCAATGAAGCATTTAATGCATTAAACAAACTAGCATTAAATGAAAAAGAGGCAAGGGAATCATTGTCCCCTAAAACTCGTGTAGAAGCTACGCTAGGCAAGGGGGTAGGACTTGGCTTCTGTGAGCAGCTGCAGCTTTGTTTGCACCCACTCCACCTTTCCGACGATGAAAGGGCTCAACGGAAACCAACTAAGGACACTGACTTGGGCACATTCGACGCCCAATAGTTCACACGACACGAGCCTGCGAGCTGATGTCTAGTACAGTTCGGGCACAATGCTGAGCTTTTCACCACCAGTAAATAGGACCTGCGGACTTAAAGTGGTGAAAATGAGAATGCTGCTGCTACTCTCCGGTCATCAGCCGGAGCTCTTCCCATTCCCATCTCTATTCAGCCTGAAGATCACAATCAAAGGCTCTCATAGGCCTGCTTTGCACTGCCTAAAATGCCATTGGATTGGCTGACTTCATTAACGTCATTTTCCTTCTATGTATGTGCAACAATAGTGATGATTCTACCTATCTTAGTTTAAAGAGTTACCAGATATTGGCCAACTTAAACCTACCTGTTTCTTGATCATCGGGAAGAATATGATCTTCATAAACTTGATAAAAGGTTGTGATTCGGGTGCCATCAGCATGATCCACGATCCGGGTACCATCTTTCTTCTCCACAATGACCACTTTGTCTTCTCGAGTTGTCATAACCTGAATGTGTGAAGGTGAACATCATCATTTCGTCAGGTGGAGAGTCCCAAGTCTGCTTATTTTGGTGCTCCAATGACGACAAGGATGGTGCCACAACAATTCTACCTATGTATTTATCCCATATTTATCAATTGTTATCATATTGCATAAATATGATATAATCTTTGCAAGAAGCCTGGGAAGCAAGGAATGATGTCAACATTTTAGAGATGAGGAAACATTTTATAGATAAGGCTTAAAGATGTTCAGAAACTTACTCAAGGTCTCTCAGTAAGTAAAGTTCCAGGCTGGTAGTTAAGGGTCACTTGACTTCAAAACTGTTGCTATGTCTGTTTCAACACATTTTTGAATAAAAACTTAACATTAGGACTGAGCAGATCCAAGTTTGTCTTGTGAGAAGAACACAGGTCTCATTTCCTGGAAAGCTATGGAGTTAAGATAGGTAGTCTCTTGCCTATATTAAAGCTGACCTATAGGGCTGACCTGGTTGTGTGGTGACATGTGAATCTTGGACCAATTGTCAAGAATTCAACTATATGCCCCAATACAGGTAATTTCATACTTAAAATACACTAGATTGAGGAGGACTTTAAGGTATATTAAAGATTGATTTTATCCTAAGAGAAATAAAAGCACTATTGAAGAGATTTTTGAGTATATAGACTAGAGTAGGAATCACAGAAAAATTCCAGTTGGTAGCAAGGGCTCCTACCTAAAAGGACATTAAATAGACCCTGGAACCCTGTAGCTACACCACCGATGAGAGGAAGCTCTAAACCCAACCTTTTAGGTAGAAGCCCTTGCTACCAACTGGAATGTCACCTCATCCTAACAACAGTGCCCACTCCTCTAGAATGTGCTACTTCCTGTCACGCAGTGGGAAATTTTCCATTTTGTTTCCTGTGGTAATGTCAGTTTCAGGTTCTATTTGCATGCTGGTTAAAAACTGCTGGGATCTGGAATATAGCTTGCTGAGGTCCACGTCCTGATCACCACTACCCTGTTTCCCCGAAAATAAGACAGTGTCTTATATTAATTATTGCTCCCAAAGATGCGCTAGGTCTTATTTTCAGGGGATGTTTTATTTTTCCATGAAGAAGAATATGGTACACATTTACTGTTTATTGTTTGAGTAAAAGAGACCTCGCACTTCCTGTCTGCTTCAGCTGCACTGCAGCCAACTGCTCCAGTCCAAGGTCCAGAGTTACGGTAGCTTTGTGGGGCCTTATTTTCGGGGGGAAGTCCTTATATTTCAGCTAGACGCAAAACTGTAATTAAGTCTTATTTTCGGGGAAACAGGGTAGATGTGTGGTTTGGGACAAGTCACCTAGCCTTTTCTCAAGTTTGGATACCTCATTTGTAAAATGAAAATAACTCTGACACACAGTGAATGCTCAGCCATTATTATTATGTTGTAGTTGGTGTTTAAGTCATGCTACAATTGAGGCTTTGGGATGTGGGCCCGTGCTTTTAAAATGGTGGTGGCGATTAATAAGAAAAAACTAAGAACTGTTAATAAAATTTTCCTAAAAAGTCAAACAATTTACATAAGGGGGTGGATTTCAGCAGCTTATTTAAAACCATTGAAAATGAACAAAACTTCAACTTCCTGAGATGTTATATAGTACTTGGAGCTTCATAGAATATACATTACTATCAAACAAGACAAACAATTATAAAATGTCTTTAGAAGTAGACTGAGGAGGAAAGGAAACCATCTTTGGTTGAAAGATGTAATTCAACTCAATAGCAAGCAGCTATTTGGCCTTTGACCAGCAGCATGTGGTTATAAATAATGGTGGGAAGCCCAGAAGTCAGAGATCAGATGCCTGAAAAGATTCTGCATCTTGTTTTGATCCAGGTTGTTCTGGGAACCTTCAGACATGACGCTGGAAAGACAGCTCAAGAATGGGAAGAGTTAAGTTTTCAGTCTCCAATAACTAATTCAAATTGGGTGTAACAGTTCCTACATATGTACTTTTGACCAGGTTACTCAATGATTTGAGGCACTTTCCTCATTTATGTAATACTTTCCATTGATGTAAGGACAGAACAAGATAATTTTCTTATGCTACAAAAAGGAAAAGGAAAAACAAAACAAACTTTGCATAGCTGCTGAATTCTTGAGTTATTTAATATGAGCATGTCTTATTTCTAAAATGCACAATAAGTTCCTTGAAGTCAAAGATCACTAATGATTTCTCTTATCACTGCAAGTTACACAAAAAATGTGGAATCAGGAATAACCTACCAGAACTTAAGGCTTATTTATGTGCACATACTTTGAACATAGGGAAGACATGACATCACTCATCATATAGGTCTTATATAGAAACTACAGAAATGCATGGCCCGCCTTTTAAAAAATAACAATACTCATGCTGGTCAAAGAAGCCACGTGATGCTTTAAAATTTGGGAAACTGAATTCATCCATCTATCCATCAAACTAACAATCCGCCCATTACATAACAGATATTTACTGAAACATGTATTGTTTGGCAGGCACTTCCCATGTGCTGTTGCATGACACTAATGACTTAAATATTTTTGCATTGATATTCTGCCATACCGTTCCATTGACAGGATCTGTGGCTTTGAAGGATAAAAGTGGGGTCAAGTCTGTTATTCTTTCTGATCCTTTGGTACCAATCCGATTCCCTCCAGGTGTGGTGGTAAACCAGACGCCTATGTGAACTTCCACAGGAGTTGCTGTTTGAACTGCCTCTGCATGAGGTTCATGGCTTTCATTCTTATGGGTCATTGATAACATATTTTTGTGACCTTTTCCTGTGGAAGTCCAAGTAAAATGAAACACAACAGTATGACTTTCATATCAATTACATAAGCCATTCATTAAGTTTTGATACAGTACAAACTCTCTTGGCCACCATGGCATAGGTAGGCAATAAACTCTAAACAACAAGCTCATTCTCAGAGTTGATTCTGACTCATAGTGACCCTATAGAATTGATTGCCTCTATGGGTTTTGGACGCTGTAAATCTGTGTGGGAGCAGAAGGCCTCATCTTGCCCCTGTGGAGTAGCAGGTGGTTTCGAACTGCTGATTTTATGGTTAGCAGCCCAATTCATAACCTTCTATGCCACCAGGGCTCCTTGGGCAATGCGTATTTAATCCACTATTTTTCAACTAAGTAGTATTTCATCAATTATTTCTCAACAAGGAAACAACACATCAGGTTATGAATATCTTAATAATGGCTGGATTCTTGCCATCTACCCCTACACAAACACAACTGTTTGCACATACACAAGTGCCTGTAGCACAACAATATCTATTCAGCTCCATTTCTGTATAGTTCCGAGTCTCCTTACATTTCCTTGGATCTTAGAATGTGGGTTCTGTATCCTGGCTTTTAAAGTGTTCTTCTTTCTAGCCAATCAACAGCAGATCGATCGTGTGGCAGACGGATGCAGCCCTCTTTGGGGGGTGGCCTTTTGCATAAGAGAGAGACCCAGAGCAGAGCTGAGAGCCCTTGCCCCTTCAGAATCTGCATCCTGCGGCTGGTTCACAGATGACCTCTTTTGTCACCTGCAGGTCCCAGGAGCTGTCAGCAGACTGCTGAATCGAATTGGTTTGGCTGACTTTGGATTCAGGTACCTCTGTGTCCACCCACCTGTGGCGCTCCTGCTTTGTCATCCTGCTTCCTATTCATCAGCTTCTGTAGCTCCACAACTCAGGAGTACCCCAGTCTCTCTCTTGAAGACTTTATTAAATCCAATATATATTGAGAGGCCTTAATGACTACCTTTCTCGGTAGTAATTCTGGCTTACCTCTTGTCTATGGACTCAAATGGAACTGGACCTCCTTCTTTCCATAACAAGGAAAGCCAATCTCTTTCTATATGCATAATGTACAAGCGTCCCTGGTTTTGCCTCTCTAGAGAACGCAAACTGACACAGTATTCTAGGGTAAAAGAATCACTACCGAGGCGGATTCTACCACAAAGTTACAGCGATTCTAGATTTGCACATACTTAAAACTATAACTTCAAATTACATAAAGAAAATCTGACATAACTATAAGTCATCTCAGAAACAAAAATGCAATTATAATGAGCATAGGACTGAATAGACTATTATACCCTTTCAGCAGGCCATTTACACGTACTTTGTTACATAAATTGACATAATAGAGTTTTAAAAATCTGTCCATATCTAGAATAAAACCAAATCGACTGCTACCATAGCAACCCGATAGGACAGAGTTTAATTGCCCAGTTAGATTATAACTCTTTACAGAAGCTGAATGCCACCTCTTTCTTCTACAGAGCAACTTGTGGGTTGGACTTGCCAACCTTTTGGTTAGCAGTCCAGCACTTTTACCACTGCACCAACATGCTGGTTCCATGGATACAGAACAGGCATTGACACACCTTGACCTGTAGGTCAAGGACAACCTATCTTGTCTTGTACAGTCTGTGAAGCACTAACACTTTCTATGTTTCTAAATGGTTGAAAAGTCGAAAGAAAATAATGTGTCATGACACATGAAAATGATCTATGAGATTCAAAATCTAGTGTCCACAATGAAGCATTTTAGAACACGGCTGTCACGTATTGAATTGTGCCAACTTGGCTGCGCCATGATTCTTGGTAGTTATTAATGATACAATTTGACAGTCATGTAATGATGTGATTACTTCTCATGATGTAATCTGATAGGAGCAGCCAGTCAGTTGTAAGGGTATTAGGGTAGGATGCAATACCTTTTCCCAGGTTACAGCAATTATCTTATCAGAGGCTCCCAAGGAGATGGATTGACACAGTGGCTGAAACAATGGGCTCAAGCAAAGGAACGATTGTGAGGATGGCATGCGACTGGGCAGTGCTTTGCTCTGTTGTGCATAGGGTTGTTATGGGTTGGAGCTGACTGGAAGGCACAGAACAACAATAAGAAGGTATGAGAGGGGGGGACATGGGAGAGGGGGAGGAGGGGGGAAGGGAAGAAGAGGGGATAACAAACACAGGGACAAGGGAACAACAAGCGATCCAAATTGGTGGGGAGGTGGGTGTGGGAGACCTGGTAGGGCAGGATCAAGG